CTGAGATCGAGCCCCGCATCGGGTTCCCTGATCCGTGGGGAGCCGGCTTCTCTCTCTGCCTCTCTCTCTCTGTCTCTCATGAATAGATAAATAAAATCTTTAAAAAAAAAAAAAAGAATAAATAAAAAAATAAAACATTTGTGATGTCATCTCTCCCTGTTGGGAAACTCCAGTGACCCCCAGGCAGGCTGGATGGCTGGGTCACCAAGGGTGATCTGTCTGCTCCCTGCTGTGTGACAGACCCAAGACTGGTGTGGCTTCAACCTCGTCCCCGCTCCACCCTCCACCCCCCCCATACCCTTGTCACCCAGTGTATCTTCCTCTGTCTAGATTCTCGCTCACCTGTGGCATCTTGGCTATTCGCCGGAAGACATCATTGGCAACATTTTTCGAGTGTGTAAAACCTTCCAAATGGCAGAGTACTTGAAACTGGAGTTTATCAAGGTCAGTGAGGGTATAACAATGCCTCTCCTGGGGAGCGTGGGCCACACTGCGGTCTCTTCGTGTGGCTCCCAGGCCTGGCCCCCGGAAGGTGCTCAGCGAGTGTCCCACCGCCGGATCGTCCTGGGGCTGGGAGTTGGTTTCAGCCTGTTCTGCCAGTCAGCAGCCTGGAGTTCCTCAGGGTGGCTCTCTTCACTCAAGATTTGTTTGCTTGTTTACCCTTAAGTTCAGGTTAATTGAGGTATAATCTACAGAGAGTAAAATGCACCTCTCAGGTGCCTTCTGTTGACTGGTGTTCAGTCTTGTCAAGGTCGGAACAGCTCTATAATTCCCCCGCCCCCTAAATGCATGTGCCCCTTGGTAGTCGGTCAGCTCCTCCCCCAGCAGCCAGAAACCACCGCTTTGTTTTCTCTTTGGGGGGACACAATTTTCCGGAAGGTTGTCCTATGGACATGACAGCGGAATCAAGGAGAAGGTAGCCTTTTGAGTCCGCCTAGCTTAACGCACTTCAGCTTTGTTCATGCTGTCGCATCTGTTAGTGGGTCGTTCCTCTTCTTTGCCGAGCAGCGAACCACGGTTTGTGTGTTCACCACCTGAAGGACGCCGGGGGGGGGTGGGGGTCTCGGTTTTGGTGACGATTAGTGAGACCACTATAAACATTTGCGCATGCGAATCGGTGTGAACGTAAGTTTTTATTTTTCTCGGGCAACTTCCCAGGAGGTAGGATTGCTTGTTCTAATGGTCAGGGTATGTTTAACTTTATAAGAAACTGCCAAACCGATTTCTGAAGCAGCTGTAGATTGTGCATTTCTCCCAGCAGTGTGTGAGCATTCCAGATGCCCCCCCAAGCCTAGCCAGCACTTGCAATGTTCGGTTGATTCTTTTTTTTTTTTAGATTTTATTAGAGAGAGAGTCGGGGGGAGGGGCAGGGCAGAGGGAGAGGGAATCTCAAGCAGGCTCCATGCCCAGTGCAGAGCCTGATGCGGGGCTCGATCTCACAACCCTGGGAACACGACCTGAGCGGAAACCAAGAGGTGGACGCTCAACATACAGAGCCACCCCGGGCGTCCCCTCAGTTGATTCTGTTAAAGCCATTCTAATAGGTGTGTCGTAGCATCTTCTCCTGGCTTTAACATGCATTTCCCAACAGCTGACGGCGTCGGGCACTTTCGCATGTGTCGATTTGCCATCCATTATCTTTAACGAAGCATCTGTTCATATCTACCGATTTCTTAATTGGGTCATTTTCTTCTTACTGAGTTTTGAGACTTACTTATATACCCTGGCTTCAGGTCCTCTATCAGACATGTGTTTTATAAGTATTTTAATATTTTCTCCAAGCCTGGCTTTTTGTTCTTTTTTGTTGTTGTTGTTATTTTCTTAACAGTACCTTATAGGGAAATAGCCAAATAGACTGAACTCTAAACACAACTCATGACAACTTAGAGTTCCTTTTCCAGCTGAAGTTTGAGTTCATTGCGTCCACTTTAAGTAAACTGCTAGTTTAAGTTAAAAAACATAAAGTCCTCCCTCACTTACTCTTTTTTTAAAGATTTTATTTATTTATTTGACAGAGAGACACACAGTGAGAGAGGGAAGACAAGCAGGGGGAGTGGGAGAGGGAGAAGCAGGCTTCCCCTGAGCAGGGAGCCCGATGCGGGGCTCGATCCCAGGACCCTGGGCTCGTGACCTGAGCCGAAGGCAGACCTTAACCGATTGAGCCACCCCAGCGCCCCCCTCCCTCACTTATTAACCAGCTTGACATGTGCTTTGCTTTTCAGGAAATCGGATACACGCATATGAAGATAGCAGAAGGCGTGAACTCCCTCCTGCAGATGGCAGGGCTCCTGGCCAGGCTGTGTCAGAAGACAATGGCCCCAGTGGCCAGCTAGGGGGGGAGAACTCGTTGCTCGGGGTGACAGGGGTCCTGAGAGTCCTCGTCCAGGAGAGACAGGAGTCAGCGCCTTCTGATTTGGAAAAAAGGCCACCCTCGACCGGCATGGGGACACACCTTCCCCTGACACGACCGTGGTCTTCACGCCGCTCCCACATGTGTCTGCAGTCAGCTTCAGCCTCACGGACATGGTGGCAGGGTGACAGGGCCCCAAAGAACCTCAGGGCTTGGCACCCGATCTGGGCACGTGTGGCATCTTAGTTAATAAAAACGCTGTACGGTTTGGTCGGCGCTAAGGTGGCGTCGCCAGGCCACAAGGAAAGCCAGCGTCCCGTCTCTGAGTGTCCCCAGCATCCGACAAGTAGAACAGGTGATGGGGATAGTAGACCGATGAAGCTGATCTCAGTGCTTCTAGAAGCCTGGAGGACAGTTCCATGGGGTAGGGGATGGAGAACAGCCTGGGACAGTAAGGACTTCAGAGAGGACCGGCAGGAGTCACCTGCCGGGGACAGTGGTGTGACGCCTGCCCACTGACCGGCCTTTTCTGTACAACTGCGTATGCGTGTTGCTTTAGAATTCCCCAGTGAATTTTCTATTACTTTGTACGATCGTTCCTCCCCCACAAGGTACTATTTTTTCCCCATTTTCTTAAATTATAAAAAAGTATCAGTGTACATAAAAGAAAGAGTAGGGCGCACCTGGGTGGCTCAGTCAGGTGAGCATCCAACTCTTGGTTTCGGCTCAGGTCATGATCTCAGGGTCCTGGGATCGAGCCCCGCATCGTGCTCCCTGCTCAGTGGGAAGCCTGCTTCTCCCTCTGCCTCTCCCCCTGCTCATGCTCGCTCACTCTCTCCCTCTCTCTCCAATAAATAAAAACTCTTAAAAAAAGAGTGGGGGGGGGAGAAAAAAAGTTAAGGTCCTCAAAAACGGCAATGTGAGGTTTTAAAAAACATTTTAACATATTTCCTCAATCTTATTCTTCATCTGGAGCCTCATGATCGTGGTGAGGTTTGCAGGGGAGGACCAGGGCCCAGAGGCGTGTGTCTGCCACACACCCCAGAACCGTGTTGGCAGGACTCCTCCCGCCTGGAGCCCCCACCACAGCCCCACCGCGCCCCGCTCCGTCTCTGAGCCTGAGGTCGGGACTCCCGGGGCTGAAGGAACAAGCGGCCAGCAGCTGTGTTCTGGTTTTCCTTCTCATTTCCTAACTGATGGCATTAACTTTTGGACAGTTAGTGTGGCATCCTGGAAAGTGTGGACTCCAGGACCAGGTTCCTGTCCCCAGCTCTCTCTCTCCTCTCTCTCTTCTGTCTCTGTCCCTCTCTCTTGGGGCCTCAGGGTCTTTTCCCATTAAGCAAGAGGCTTGACTTCCACTCCCTTGGAAGGTTTTGCATGAAGCAAGAAAAACAGACATGAGAATTGCTAGTCTTAGGAAATGCTTTATTGAGATGTCTCAGTTGAAGGAAACATCTTGCCTCTCCGTCTGTGGCTTTTCTGGCTCAGAAGGTCCCTTTGGGCCCCTGGGCTTCCCATGACACAGCTGTGTCTCTGCTCAGTCAGCTCAGCCGAGTCCAGTCCTGGGGCTGGGGAGGATTTGGGGACGACAGAGGGGCGCCACTCAGCCACTCCTTGCTGCTCCTTCTCCAGAAACAGGGTGTGCTCTGCCCGCAGCAGACGTTCCCACTGAAGGGCACCCGGGTGTCCCGTAGCCTCATCTCTTCCAAGTGAACTGAGGCCCGAAGAATGGAGCACGGGGGCTCCCCCTCTCTGCTGAAATGATGTGTAATCCTCACAGGAGACGAGATAGACGAGACTCTGTACCCGGAGACGCAGATTATTAAATATGGTTCCACCTATATAAATTAACTGTACAAGTTTATGGATCAGGAAAAAGATCCCAGCAATTGACGTTAGTAAGCAATTTGGAACCTGAGTCCAAAGCAAAAAGTCACAGGAATACCAGCGACACACAATGTTTTCAGACGTGGGGACGGGGGTGCAGCATGCCCTGACCCTCGGGCATCGGATCAGGTCAGAAGCCATGCTGCCCTCAGCCTTGGGCTCCTGCAGAAGCCAGGCCGGGGCCTGATGTCCCGTGTAACTGTCCTTACCCCGGCCGGTCCCCACGGCCGGCCGGATGGTCCTCCGGACGCCTCGGTGCATCTCCCAGGGGTAACCATGGCGGGTGTCGAGGTTGGGCGGCTCCGGAGAGAGAAGTGACCCCCGGGGGAGGCAGGATATAGCCCTCAGCCTGGTGGTTCCCTGGTGGTTTCTGCCACCCCACCTTCCAGCTCAAAACCCTGCACAACCCCTCCGGCTCCTGCCCCATGTCTCTGCTCCCCTCTGAAGTGGAACTTCTGGAATGTTCTCTACTCTCTGTCTTGGGACTCCTGTGTTCTGAATACAAGCAGGCCTTCTCCCCACCACTATCGAGTCTCATCAGTGCCCACCAGTGCCCACCAGTGCCCGGTGCATCTCCGCCTGCCTGGCGCCTGCTCACACCCTCCCCAAGTGCCTTTCTCGGGCCCAGGACACTGCCCTTTGCCGCTTCGCCTCCCAGCCTCGGGCCTCAGTGCTGGCCCCTCTTCTCGGCCTCACTCCCCGGGGGCTGACAGTTGTCACTCTCAATGACGACGCCCCGCGTCTGTCTCCAGCCTGGCCTCGCCCTCAGTCCAGGCTCAGCTGTCTAGCTGCCCACTTCATATTTCTCCCCACGCGCGCAGCTCGAGCCGAACACGTCCAGAAATAAGCTGGCCTGCCCACAGGGCCTGCTCTGCCCACAGCCTCACACCTCGGCTGGGGACAGTGACATCCTCTTGTTGCTCGGCCAAAAAACCTGCAGCCCCTCAGCTCCTCTCTACCTGGCCCCCCAACATCCAGTGCATCAATGAGTCCTGTGCGCGCCACCTTCAAAACCAACTCCCAATTCGGACATAACGGGTAAATACAGAACATTCCATCCCACACAACAGAATACACATTCTTTTCAAGTACACATGGAACATCCTTCAGAACAGACCACATGTCAGGCCACCAAACAGCCTCAATAAACGTAAGAAGACTGAAATCATACCATACATCCTTTCCAACCGCAGGGGTACGAAACTAGAAATCACAAGAAAAATGGAAAAATGCAGACACGTGGAGGTTAACCAACACGATATTAAACAACCAATGGGTCAACAAAGAAATCAAAGAAAAAATTTCAAAAAATACACAGAGACGGGGCGCCTGGCTGGCTCAGTCGGGATAGCGTGCGACTCTTGATCTTGGGGTCGTGAGTTCGAGCCCCACGTTGGGTGTAGAGATTACTTAGAAATAAATAAACTTAAAAAAAAATCTAAGACCAAACAAAACCCTATTCATGTTGGCCTCCACCCCGAGCCAAGAAGTCACCTTTTCCCTGGATTCTCATTGGTCTCTGTGCATCCCTTTCTGCCCCCTGAATTCATTTCCCTCCTCAGCAGCCAGGGATCCCGTTCCCAGGCTCCCAGGCTCCCAGGCCCCCAGGCTGCGCCCCCTCCCATCTCAGAAAACCCAGGGGTCGCTGCGTGGCTGCCCCCTCCCCTGTTGTCAGACCCTCTGGGCACGCTTCTGCCCCCCTGCGCGTCCTTCCCCCCCCCACCGCGGGCCGGGGAGGGAGCACCCCCAGCTGCCCTGGGCAGCCCAGCCTCGTGGTCCGCGGCCTCCTCCCCGCGGGCTTGTCTCCACAGGGCTTATCACCCGCTCACATGCTGCCTGTCCTTCCTGCCCTTTCTCAGCCCACAGCCATCCGTGTCATCACTCTCACCAGAGTGATGTCCTGAACAATCAGGGATTTGGGTGGATTTCTTTCTTTTCTAAGATTTTATTTTTAAGTCATCTCTATACCCCACGTGGGGCTCGAACTTGCAACCCTGAGATCAAGAGTCACATGCTCTGGGCACCCATGGGTGGATTTCGTTTATTGCTGGGTCCCCAGCACCTAAGGCTGACTTGCCCCCAACAGGGGCCCAGTAGATGTTGGGGAGTGCGTGAGCGGTGGGCTCAGGCTTCTACGGCCTCTCCTGCTGTGGGGCCCTCACAGCCCAGGAGCCGCCTGCCCGCCTGCTCCGATCGGGACTTCAGAGGGCCTTCGAGAACCCACTGGGGTCAGTCCTGTCTCCCCGTGGCACAGCCTGGGCCTCAACAGCTGACTCTAAGTGGGGCCTGGGATAGGAGGCTGAGCGCTCTGTGCGTTTGGGGGCCCGAGCTGGTGCACGGGAGCACTCAGCCCCATACTGGCCGGCGCAGTGGGTGCTGCAGACTCGGTCCAGCCGCGACCCTCATGGGCGCCATCCTCTACCTCCCAGTCCCACCCCCGTCCCTGTGTCCTGCACGTGCTGTGTCCCATTTGCTCCATTTTGCAGGTGAGGAAATGGTCCCAGAAGGTTGAGCCACTTGCTCGAGGTTGCAGAGAGGCACCCGGAGCCTACCCCTTCACCCCACAACTCACCAGCCTCCCCGGCCTGACACCCCCAACAGTCGCCTGAGACCCTTGTGTCTGCCGTGGAGCTGTGACCTCACCAGGCCTGCCGTGGCGTTGGGGGCAGGACGGCTCAGGAGCTCAGTCCCAACACCCTACAGAGCCACCCATTTCAGCACCCATGGGTGCTACTCCTTGACCCCCCACTGGGGCTCCCGTGTGGCTCCTCCAGCCCCGTTTTTCCCTTGGGATGGGGCCCCCCAGGTCTGTGAGGTCCAGAACCCTGGGCTGAGACAGCTGTACCTTCCTTCCAGATCCTTCCTAGGCTTCTGTGGCTGCCACATTCTGATTCACATAATCGGGGTCCTCGCTGTCCTCGTCTGGGCTGCCTGCCAGGGACAGAGGCTCTTCCCTCGGGACTCGCTCTGCGGACCAGCGGGCAGATGGGCAGATGGTGGGCAGACGGTTCATGCGGACACACCCACACCTGTTCCCCCAGCCAGAGGCTCGGGCCCAGGCCCCCGGACGCCACAAAACAGCCTGCAGGAAGTGCTACACGGAACACTGTGCCGGTCCCCATCTCTGGGGTTTGCCAGAGATTTCTGCCCCGGGGGCGGCTGAGTGGGCGTCCTGGTCCTGGCACGGTTCCAGGCCGCTGTGGCCACTGATGGGCCAGAGGCGTCACTGTGAAGTCAGCTGCAAGGGCTGCAGGGGCGCCTGTGCCCCCCCGACTGTCCCTCCCTCCCCCCGCACTGCCCGATCCTCCCAGGCCAGGCCCTCCGCAGCCTGCTGAAGCTGACCACCCGGGAACCCCTGCTCTCCGGCCACGCACCCACGGCCCTCCTGGACTCCCGCCACTGCCGGATGGATGCCGAGTTCTGGTAATCCTCGGATCCCTCGTCACCTGCAGGGAGACACCGGGAAGGTGGCAGCCGCCGCGGCTAGTCCTCAGGCCCCCTGCATGCTCACTAAGGCCGGGACCCCCGGGGCCTCGTCCAGGTACTCGAGCAAACGGTGAACCTTCGGGCTTCGAGGCAGGGGGTGCCTTTGAGCGGCATGGGCGGGCCTGGCCGAGGAGGCCTCTCCGCCCAGTTCCCGGGGCTGGCGGCCTCACCTGACTCGGGGTCCTTCGGCTTGCAGATGAGCACGTTCTCGTACGAATTGGCATCATCATTATCGTCATCTGCCAGGGAGGGGGTGAGGGTCAGGTTGGTGGGGGGCCCTGCCTGGCGGACCCGGCTCTTCCTCCCTCCCTCCCTCCGTCCTGCCTTCCCTCGGCAGGTGACCTGTCCTGCCAAGCCCCCAGCCCTCTGGGTCCCCCACAGGGTCTCCGAACATTCTCCTGGACAAGATTCTTAGTGGATGCTGGCCTGGCTCCAGCTCCTTCATGGTCCTCCGAGGTCACCCCAAATGCACTGGGGAGGTGAGATGTGGGGATAGGCTTGCAATCAGGGAATTGGATAGTTGGAAGGAGGGAGGCCCATTGCTATCGGGCAACGAGGGGGGGGAGAGCCGCTGGGGGCCGAGGAGAGACGGGAAGCAGGCCTAGGCTGGTCCTAAAGCCGTACCTTCGGGCAGGGCAGGGTGGGCCTAGGCTGGATGTGGCCCTAGCAGAGCCTGGCACCCCCTCATCGCCCCTGTGAGCTGAGCTCTAACCGCGGCCCCACCCCGCAGCCTTCTGTGTCAAAGGGGCTCCAAGACATGAGGGTCCCTCCCATATTCAGCAGGGGCAGGGGGGAAGAAGAGGCCCCCTCTCTCTGCCTGCCATGCGCCCCAACCCCCAGCCCAGCGTGGCCTCCCCAGACCTCTCAGCAGGCCCGGCCCATCCTCGGTCCTCAGTTTCTTCTTCTGTAAAGCCAAGGTGTTAAGGGCCCAAGATCCCAGCCTCCTCAGAGCCTGCAGGGCTCAGCGTCTGTCAGCAAGGTTGCCCGGCCCAGGCCCTTCCTCTGAGGTCCCACATGTACTCATTAGTGGCTGCCCAGCCCTGAGGGGGGCCTGCGTGACCAGGGGCTCAGCCTCCCCCGTTGCCCCTGGCCCCAGGTCCCCTTCTAGTTCCCTCACTTCTGTGGCCCACACCCCCTCCCCTCCCTGCCTCCCACACATCCCTTCCCTACTCTGGTCCCCCACCACCAGCCTCCCCCGGCTCCCCAACTCCGCCACCCATCCAAACCTAGGCCCAGCCTCCCCCTCCTCTACGGCCTTGGCCTTCTGCAGCTCGCCCCTTCCTCCCCTCCTCCTCCTGCATCTCACCTTCCCTGGGCTTTTGGATCTGCCCCCAGTTGTAATACTCCATGGTGATGGGGTCTCTGGCAAGAAAGCACAGACCCAGAGCGGTTGCTGGGCAGGCCGGGGCTCGGGGTGGGGGCATCGTGGGGGACACGGATGACAGGGCTGCTCCAGCCATCACCCCCCGCCCCCACCCTGTTCTTCCCTGGTCCCTCTGTCCCTCTTCCCTGGGCCCCTAAGCCACCCAGCCTGGCTCCAGCCATCCTGACTTGTGACTCTGGGCAAGTCCCCATCTTCCCTGGGCCTCGGTTTACCCATCTGTGAGACATCCTTGAGGGCCCTTCCTCCCTTATCTCTGGGTGATGCAGACAAGCCCTCCCTAGAGCAGGGCCACGTCCCTGTCCCCACAAAGCCATGGCCAGCTGAGAGGAAGTGATGCTACTGAGCACCTGCCCGGGCCAGTGGGTTCTAGGGCCGGAAGCTTTCATAAAGGGGGAAGCCCGGCGGGGGTGGGTGGGGGAGGGGAGGAGGTGCCGGCCCTGCAGAAGGCCACTCACATGTAGGCTGCATCAGATCCGGATCTGGATCCATGTCTGCTCCCTGCAGGAGGAGGCGAGGATTAGGCCCGAGCACTGGGCCCTGGGCCCCACCGCAGCCCACCTCCCAGGATCCCACCCACCTTTGCTGAAGTTCTGGTACCTGGAGGACTCAGAATCTGGAAGAAAGGCCGGGCTCATTGCTTCCTCCTGCCCCTGCCCCCCCCTCCCCAAGGGAAGGGCCTTCAAGGACCCAGGTGTCTCCTACCTTCCCACCTTGACACCTGCTCTCCATCCCCTCCCCCGCTAGGCCAACCCAGGGGCCTCCTGGCCCAGCTCCCCTGGCCCCCCAGGCCTCCCCTGCACAGGTACTGTCCCACCAGGTATTCACCTGTCTCAGTCCCACCTCACCCCTGACCCCATCCCTGTGTCTGGGGGCCACTCACCCTCGAGGCTGGGGGAGAACCTCAGCAGCTTGTCCTTCCTGCAGGAAAGGGGGAAGGGAGGGGCTGAGAGGGGCCGGATGGGGAAAGGCCTTGGGGTTTCTGAACCACAGTCCCACAGCCCTACAGCCCCCTCGTGGGGCCCTCACAATCCAGCTCTGGGGCTCTGAGGTCCAAGGTCTTGGCCTGAGCTCAGCCAGGTGGGGCCCCCGGGGCTCTCCTTCCCATGGCCTCCTATGGGGCTGTTGACCCCTCCGGGCCTTGGATGGGGGGCTTGTCCCTACCTTGTTGGCGCCACGTCGGAGTCTGTGTCCACCAGGGGCCCTGGCCAGGCCTGTCTGACCACTGCAAAGGACAAGGGGCTGTTGGCTGGGCCTCCAGTGCTGTCCCCCCACTCCACCAGATCGGGCCTGGCCACAGTCCCCATATGGACACCCCCAACCCCGAGCCCAGTCCCTGGACCCTTCGGTTCGGGGACTCACAGGAATAGGTCCGGGCCACTGCAAAGTTCTGTTGATTCTCTTCCCTGGGAAAACATGGAGCTGCGCTGAGCCAGGGCCTAGCCTCCCACAGCCCAAGGGACAGAGAGGAGAGACGGACAGACAGGGCCGAGGAACAGAGAGCGGAGGGACAGACCAGGGCGAGAGTGAGGAGCCGCCACCCCTCTGGGCCTCAGATCCAGGGCTCCCCCTTTCTCTGAACTGCCCTCCAGGCACCCACCCTTCTCACGTGGCCCCGAGCTGGAGCCTCCACGGCCTCCCCAGGAACCCCGGAGATGGTCCGGAAGGTCTGTGGGCAGGGCTGGGGAGGTGGCCCTCAGATTCTGAGGTGAGGGTCGGGCGGCTCTTCAGGGACTTCAACTAGAGGGTACCTTCAACCCCTCTTGAGACGTCCAAACACACCATCTACTCCCAAGTAACTGGCAAGGTAACTTCAAGGCTTAGCAGACACAGCAAGGTACCTGGCCATGTGCGGCGTTCCCTTCTTCCTCTGAAATGGATTTTTATTTAGGCCCATCTAAAAGACTGTATTTTCCAGCCTCCCTTGTGCCTGAGTTGGCCATGTGATTAAGCTCTAGTCAATGAAATGCCAGCCAAGACTGTTGGGACTTCAGGAAAACTCCTTTAGAGGAGACACTGCCAACAGGGGTGCACCCTTTTTGTCCCTGTCCTTCATTCTTACTACTGCCTGGAACACAGAGATGAGGGCTGGAGCTCTAGCTGCCATTATGGATCATGAAGTTCCCTTGAGGATGGAAGCCAATGCTAAAGATGGTAGAGCAGATTAGCTAAACATTTAAAGCCTTTTGGGTCCCTCCTCTGGACCAGAAGGGGTACCTGGCCCAGCCTTCCAGGAGCTCCCGGGGAGGAGCGGCTGGAGGGGTCAGGGTGACCTGATTTAGGAAGGATGCCTTTAATGCATGGGCAGGACTGAACCCAAGTGAAGTGGGGAGAACCCAAGTCTCCCCTCCCACCTCCTCCTGCCCAGGCCCAACTTCCCACTTCCCACTATGCGGCAGTTTCACTTCTGGCTCAAACAGCTTATGTTTCTAACATCAATCAGAGGCCCAGAGTGGGCAGGCACTGAGAGAGGAGGGGAGAGAGGAGGAGATACTGGGGAGGCCTGCCTCGGGGCAGAGGTGTTGGGGGGGCACCAGGGGAGCCCAGCCCCCTCACCCCTGGTGGAGGCTGTGGGCGGGTCATCCAGAGGACCAAGTGGCCAGAAAAGCCCGGCCCCAGCGGTGAGCATGGATGGGGACATTCTATTTTCATATTTCATTGTGGTTTTTCAGTTGCAAAAGGAAATGAGAAAGGGTGTGTGTGCGTTTGTACGTGAGTTCCTTCCCCAGGCAGGCACACATAGGGGTGAGGAGAGGAGTGCACGCCTGAGCAAGAGGGGGGGAGGCGAGTGGGTGTGAGCCGGCGTGCTGGCCTGTGCGTGCGCATGTGTGCACGCACGTCTGAGGGGCCCCCGGGCGCTCTGTCGGTCACTTTCCTGCTCAGCGCAAGGACACCAGTGGCCGCCCCCCTCCCTCCCCGGGTTGTCCTTGGGCCACACCGTGGTCTGCAGCGTCCCGCACGGCTGACCCTCCCAGGGCTCATACATAGAGCAGCTCGCCTGCCCCCGAGGTGCCTGGAGCTCCATCCTGCCGGATCCAGCTGCTCGGCCTGGGGTCAGTGACCCCCCAACCCCATTTCCTCTCTACCCCTACTTCCCTGGGCCCTTAGGACAAAGGTCATGGGCTCTCCCCACAGTCAAGACTCTCCTCCCTCCTCACCCAGCTCATGCCTCTCAAGATACGCCCACACGTGCCACCTCGTCTCCAGAATAAAGTGTCCGCCCCAGTCCTGCGGGGGACCGCCCACCCTGTTCTCTCTCTGGAATGTCCCCTTTTGCCTTCTTTCTCTCTTAACATCCTCCCCATCTCCTCCATCAGGCCTTCCCTACCCCCCAAGGACATGCCCACATCCTCCTGGAGGAGCTCTGTTAGCATTTTCCAGGGGAGACTTGAGCATGGCTCACGTTTTGCTTTGTGCCCAGTCTTTGTTCCCCACATTGCCCGGGAGGGCAGAACTCTCTGTCAACCCCCAGCACCAGCACGGTGGGCTCCCCTGGGCGGGGGGCAGAGGGAGGATATCTGGAGATGCAGGGAGGCACGCTGGAAAGTGGCACCCCCTCCCCCCAAAGCCCTCCTGGACCAGGTCGGGGAAGCGCATGGAGAGCCCCAAGGGTCCCTCCCTCCCTGGACTGCTTGGGACCCACTAGAGCCCAGTGTGGAGGAGGTGGGAGTGAGGGGTGAGGGAAGGGGTGCGTGGACACACGAGGGGACGCCCATGTGGATGCCCACAGTCAGGGCACACGAAATCACGGGGCTGGGGACACCGAGGCACTCACAGGCTCCTCTGCTCATAGATCTTCTCGGACTTCTTCACGGCTGCAAGAACAAGACTGGATTAGCAAGCATCCCCAAGCCGGGCTGGGAACTGAGATCCAAGGTCCCCCTCCTCTTGTCTCCCCTGTGCCCTGGGCAGGCCTCAGATGGGACGTGGGGGCCGGACCGCCAATCCCTGTGGGCCACCTCTCATGGACAGGGTGCTTGCTCACCACCTATTAGGAGAGCAGAGTGTGGAGAAGGTGGATGCTGCAGGCAGCACAGCAGCCCCCCCACCCCCGTTTTTCCAGAACATTCCCCTGCCCCAGCAAAACCAAAGCCCCACGGTGAGCCAGACCCACTGTCTTCAGGGGTGGTTTAGGGGCTTCTTCCCTGCCTTGTGAAACTTCTCCGACCGCCCTTGGACCGCAACCAGGGCTGGGGACCCCGCCCCTGTCCCCGAGCACCCCCCTACCTGGGCGGGAGCAGCGCACGCACAGGCCGGCCACAGTCCCCAGCAGCAGCAGCAGGGCCACCCCGGGCCACAGCAGCTCGCTCTCCACATTCATGTCCGCTCCTGGCCACGCGCCCTGCAGCGCTGCAATGTAGGACCCCCTGTGACCAGCCCTCTGGAGTCCCCCCCCGAGCCCCACACTGTCAGGTGTCTGTCGCCCCCGTCTCCTGACAGCCCCGCAGTGGAGCCCAGACCACGGGAGCACCACCTCCCCTCCCTGTCCGAGGACCGGGTCAGGCTGCAGCCAGCCCTGCTCCCCCATCTGACCCCAGATCCACACCCTGGGCCCCCAGGGCCATCCCCCACACTTGGTAAGTGCTAGAAGGTTCTGGGGACCCACCAGACAGCACCATGTGTACGTGTCCCAAACATGCCTTTGCTTAATCCACACAACCACCCACGGGGGGCGGGGGGAGGATGGGAGCCTCTCCCAACATTTCACAAACACAGAAACTGAGGCTGGGGATCCCAGCTGCGAAGCAGAAAGACAGGATTCAAACTCTGGCCTCTGGACCCTAACTCTGGCTCACCTGTTGCCTCCTGTAAACCCAGCTTTGCTCCCTGAGCTCAGTCCTCGGCCCCTTCCAGAGGAGCCCCGGCTGCCCCCACGCACCCCAGGGTGCCTCTTATCCATGGGCCCCCTGGGGGAGCTGGGAGTGGGATTTCCGTTCTTTCTTTCTTTTTTTCTTCAAAAATATTTTATTTATTTGTCAGAGAGAGAGAGAGCACAAGCAGGGGGAATGGCAGGCAGAGGGAGAAGTAGGCTTCCCACCGAGCAAGGAGCCCGATGCGGGGCTCGATCCCAGGACCCTGGGATCACGACCTGAGCTGAAGGCAGATGCTTAACCGACTGAGCCACCCAGGCGCCCCGGGGTTTCCATTCTTTAAACACCGAGGGGTTCCTGAGGGCCTACGGGGGAGAAGGGTACTCTGGGCGGAGACCTGGTGGGCTGCCCAGGGCTGGTGGAGGTGGGATGTGCTGGGAGGGGGGACTCTGTGGTGTGAGGAGGCTCCGAACCCCGCCTGGCACTGGGCCACTGCTGGGTCAGTGACTGGTCCCTGCGGTGGAGCATGCTGTGATGTCCAGTCTTTGGCAAAGCCACAGGCAGCCACACACCAGGGCCTGGGCGGGGGACAAGTACAACCCTCTTGAGGGGGCTTCCGAGGAGGATCACGGCAACTAGAGAGACTCAGTCTCCTGGCGTGGCTGGGGACACAGCTGAGGGCTACAGTGGGGTCTCCGAGGGGGCCCCTGCCCACACCCCTGAGCATCCCCTCTGTGCATGTTGTTTTTCCCGGCTCGGCCACCTGGGAGGAGGGCTTCTCCCCATTTTACAGCTGGGGAAGGCGAGGCTCAGGGAGAAGCTGAGCTCTGTACTGCCCAGCTCCTGTTTTGGGCTCCCCCAAGGCCTCAGCTGCACCCAGCTGTCCCCCTCACCTCTCCGAGCTTCCCGAACCCTCACGGCACAAATGACAAGGAGCCTCTGAGCAACCCTGAGCCTCCATCGGGGCTGTCCTGGAGAAGCCGCCTCTCCTTCCCCAAACACCAAGTGAGTCAGTGGAAATCTCTTGATGGGATGGCCCTGTCACCCCAGGAGGGCGTCCGTGGGGAGCCCCCTGCTCTTGGGGCCTGGGCCCTGCCCTTCCAGCCTGCACAGCCTCCTCCTTCTGCCCTCTCTGCTGTGCCTCTAGCCCAGCCCAAGGCCACTTCAGGCTGTGTGGGGTTGGAAGCACCAGGTCCTGGAGGGAGGACTCCTGCCCGTGCCTCAGGGTGTGTTGGCCTCAGTCTTCTCATCTGTAAAATGGGCATCAACCCGGTGCCTTCCTCAAAGAACTACTGGCCGATGAGAAGCAGCCTGGCTCAGTGTCCGGGCTTCCCGGAGAGAAACCTGCTAGGGCTCGTATTTCTGGCCGGCTGGTTTGGAGAACTCGCTTGTGCTCCAGAGGCCTGGCACTTGAGGCCCCAGGACCTGGCCTGCCGACCCTTGCAGCTGTCCCGGGGAAGGGCGGCCCTCCATCCCAGGGGATCCTGGCCACCAGAGAGCCCTCTTGCTTCCTGGTCCCCCATGCTCTCCTGGGTCAAGCAGCACAGTCGGGGTGCCCCCAGCCCCGGTCCACCATATCTGCCTGGCACTGGGGGAGGGCGGGGGACGAGAACGCCGAGTGGGCCTCCGCTGTTGAAGCCTGGCATTGCTGGCCTTCCGTAGCCCCTCGGAAATGGGGAAATAAGGACACTCATCCCTCGGGTTTGTCATGAGGCCTAGCATTGAGATGATGCATGAAGGTGGGGGAGACACAGTTGCATGACTACCGTGACTTGCCATCTCAGGGTCCCTGTGGAAGGGGAAGGGGCAGCCTTTTGGGGGTGGGGGGGCCAGCAGCGGACAGCGTGGAGCAACCTTACCAGGGCCTCCCTGCCTGGTGCCCAGGGTACGCGAGCCTGAGCCTCCCTCCACCGCCCTACCGCCCCGCGTGCCAGGCCCTCGTGCCGGGACCTCCAGGGCGGGCTGGGATCCGCCTCAGCCCCTCAGTTGTCACAGACACGCCAAGTGTCATGTGGGAGATGCCAGGGAGGAGAGCGAGGCCCCGAGAGGCGGGTACTTGTCCAAGTTCATCCAACTAGCCACAGAGCCAGGATCCCCAAGCTCAGGCTGGGCTGATCCCCAAGGCCCTCCCTGCTCTTTGACTCCTGTTTTATATTACCTTTTTAAGAACCATGAAATATTTTTTAAAAGAGAGATCAATTTGAGGAACAGGCCGGCGGCTGCCCCTAGACTGACTACATCTGCACTCTGGCCGGGCTTTCCCTGCCAGGATCTGAGGGCAGGCGGAAGAGGGTTGGGGGAGGAGGCTGAGCCCCCAGGAGACGCAGGCCCAGCGGCCCCCGGAGGGCCCCAAGGGGCAGGCAGGGCTGGGTGGGGTGGGGAGGCGAGGAGGCCACAGGCCGAGGTGCTGCAGGCCAAAATAGCACAAAGGGAAGTGCGCAGTTTTCAGATGAACAAAGTTTGCACCAGCCTGGCGGGGGGGAAGGCCCTCGGGGCTCGGCTGGGCAAGCCGGAAAGGCCCTGGGAGACCCTCCTGCCCAATCTCCCAGCCGGCCTCTGGCCCTACATGGGGAAACGGAGGCCTCCCAGGGCCACAGGGCAGGCTATGGGGTAGGAACGAGAGGTTGGGTCCGAGCCCTGCGGAGGCTTTATCTGCTGGGCTCTGCTCTGGTGCCCGTTCCGTTTTCCCGTGTCATCTTGGCCTTCAGATAAGGCCGACCCAGGGGCCTCTATGGAGGATCCTAATGCTCAGGTGGCCAGTGAGGGGGCCTGGGCAGCCCTGGTCCTGGGGCAGCGGTGGGGAATGGTGACGGCCAGGGTCGAGGAGCTCCCCAGCAGAGAGCTGGTGGGCCAGGCTGGGGCCTGGGTGGGGGGTGGCGGGCGGGCTGCTTCGGCCTGGCCTGGCCTGGCCTGGGGGCAGGCCCTGGGCACCCTTGCCCGGAGAGTCTCACCCATCCTCCCGTAGCCTAGTGGCAGGGATGTTACAGTCCCATTTCACAGATGAAGAAACCAAGGCCCGTGGGTCTGGCCCCTCACCGGTCTCTGGAAGCAATGAGCCCACCCTGGAGGCTTCCCCAGGCCTGTGAAGGCTGGGCAGGGGAAGACGACGGTGGGAAAGCGCCGGAGCCCCAGAAACAGGCTGCCCTCTGAGTGCCGCAGGGTCCGGGGAGAGGGCTCCCTAGCCAGGGGCATCAGGGCGGGACTGGGGCCCAGCGAGGGAGAGCCAGCTGGCCTGGCATCTTCCCGGCCCCCCAGCCAGGGCCACCCCCCCCAACCTGAGCCCTCCTGTGGGCCCAGCAGGGCCATTCCCACCCCCGGTGGGAGGCAGCCTTAGGACCCCCTGTGCTGGGCCGGGCTTACCTGAGAGTCGGGGGCTCCTCACTGCGGCCACCTCATCCTCAGCCCGCACACCTGCCCGAGCCGACGCCACCGCCACCAAGACTGGCGGGCAGCAGGCGAGGCGGCGGGCTTCCTGTCAGCCCCCGAATCAGCCCTCGCACATCCGCTGCTCAGCCGGACCGGCCCTGCCGCGAACAGCCGGGGACGCTCGTAGAGACAGGGAGAGGCACTGAGCGACAGACACGAACACAGGCTCGGAGAGGCCAGAGACACGGACGGACACACACTGCATACATGCACGTGACCCCAAGTCACACAAAGAGGAAGAGACACACAGAGGAACGGGGAGCAAGAGAACGAAGTCGGGTGCTCACACGGACACACACACACGGGCAGCCTGCGGTGGGGGGGCAGGAAGACATGGAGAGACACACACGCACACCCAGGGAGGGAGAGGACCAGAGACAGACAGACACACACACACACAGAGGGAGAGGCTGAGTCACAGACAGACAGACACACTCACAGACATCCGTGCGCGCTCCCACGGAACACGGGGCAGAGGGATGTGGGCAGGTGCGCGCCGGGGCAGGCCGAACAAGGAAGCAGGACGGGGAGCAAGGTGAAGGGCAGAAGGGGGAACGATCTAGGAGCCATGGTTCCCCCCTGCCCCCCTCCCCCTCAGTTCCCAGAGGCCCCCTCCCGCAGCTGTTGCTCCTACTGTCACCAGCTCCTGGGGGGGGCCCATAAACATACGGGTGCTTCCGTGCCTCCTGTTACTGGGCATTAAGTGACTGGCCCAAGGCCATCAAACTCCTCGTGGCACCTCCACTCCCAGGAGACTCCAGGGAAACCCCCATCAGTCTGGCATTTCAGAACCTGGGCTTCCTGGTCCCAGGGGCCCCTCTGGGCAGGAGACTGGATTTCTCTTTCAGCCCCAGGGGCCCCTCTGGGCCAGAGGACTGGGTTTCTCTTTCAGCCTGTCTGGGGTGGCCAGGGCTGAGACAGGAGGCCCAGCCCCGAAGGCACAGTGGGCCAGGGCTGCCCGCGGCTGCCACCCCGTGGGGAAGAAGGGTAGCGCGCCCAGCCGGGCCTTGATGTCGGAGATCCTGTGGGCCTTGCCGCCAGGAGCTGGTCCCCATCCCCAGGCACGGTCAAGCTGTCTGACTCCCAGACCTGGGCCTGTGTGGACACCACCACACTCCCTTGGGCTGGGCAATGCTGCATTCAATTCCCTTGGTAACTGGCCCCTTGGATGTCACTTACACAGGTGAGAAGACTGGAGGCCCATGGAAGCTATGCTGGATTTGAACCCAAAGTCTCCAGTCTGTTGTCTTCCCAGCACCCACAGGGAGGTCGGTGGGTGCGCACCAGCAGCCCTCCTTGCTGGGACCACCTGCCTGACCCCCACTCGCACGACCGGGCCGGGCCGGGGTTGGTGTCCGTTGATCCCTGGACTGTGCACCTGCCCGGGGGTTTCCAGCAGGCAGAGACCGACAGAGTCTCCCCCCGCCCGATGGGAAGGAGCTGTCCTACACCTGGCTTCTGTCTTGGGCCTTGGCAATGGCAGAAGTGACCTCCGACCATTGGCGAAGTCTCCAGGTCAATCTGCAGCGGGACCTAGGAGCCCTCAGACCCTCTCTGAGCCCATTTCCCATCTGCAATAATGGGGGTTGGTCAACCCAAGGACCCTTTTTGTACTTGAGTGTGAAAAAAGGATGCCGTCCCCCTTGTAGGCAATTTTCAAAGTCCTCCAAGGTTCTATTTTATTTATAAACCATTGGGTTGTGACTCAGAAAATAAGCTTTGAAAAACTACACAGTTCATGTCCAGTTGCGTCAATTCTAGTGCACTTAAGGTTAAAAAAAACTTTTTTTTTATAATTCAACAATTTTTGTGTATTACAAGTTTCTCATGACCATTTAAACCACTTTTAAGTGTGTGATTCAGTAGCATTACATTCACAACACTGTACAACCATCACCACGATCCATCCCCAAACCTTCATCATCACTCCAGACACCTGGCTTTTTTCAGTTCACTGAGTGCGTGCTGTGTGCACATCCGTGACCCAATGAAGATACCCAGGTAACAGTGCGACAGCTCTAAAAACAATTCCAAGCTGAGAATCTTCTGGGGTCATACATATCCTGAAGTCTGATGGGAAGCTATGCATTCCCTTCAGAAAAATCACCTGGAGAAGTGTGTACGACATTCTAGAAGCCCCTGGAGCCCGCATATGCCATCTGCCACCCCCATGTCTTAAGGTGTAAATGAGCCTCCTTTCCACCCCCTCCCTCCCCAGCCGGTTCTAACATTTATTCTTGGTTGTGAACTCACTACCCAAAGGAACCCAGAGTATCCTCATCTTTCTGCCTCCCCCAACCTCAGGACCTGCTTCTTTTGCTTTGTCCTCTACGTGTATGTAGATTTCTAAAGTGTTTTGTATTTAATAAAAGTACCATGCTGTCTGTCAGCACTTGGGCTTATTTTCCATCTACTGCGTTGTGATCCAATGCCGTGTGCTTTTGGCTCATTCCGTCATCCGAATACAGCTTTTGCTGCTCTTGTGAATGTTCTTTCTCTGGGGCACGTACCCAGGAGGGGAACCACTGGGCTACAGAACATGGACACATGCCATTTTCAAGTTAAGTCCCCAAGTGTAGTTCCCACTTACACGCTCCTCTGTAAGACACAAGACCCACAAACTCTCTAGCAACTGGTCTGTTGGGTCGTGATGTCTGCCATTTGAACGGGCGTGCGGTAGTTATTTTTTTCTCTTTGTGATCTTGTGCTAGCCAGGACTGCTAGTGAGGCAGAATATCATTCTTCATCCTCATTTTGATAGAGTACTTAAAAAAAGGATCTAGTGAGTGCACTCTTAATTTCAAGAGCCTAATGCACATGAGCAAGACCTCTACCAATTCCAAGGCATCTTGGTGTTATTTACAGAACCCCGGGCTACCTGAAAAGCTTCTCTCATTTCTCTCCCTCCCCATCCCATTCAGAAAGATAAGCTTCTGGGCCACTAATGATTTTATGAACGTTTACCTTGCTTCCGACAGTCAACAAAAGAACAGGTACAGGAAACAGCTCTCTGTAGGGCTCAAACGGAATACCAAAGAGCCCGCCATTGTGGAATCGTGTGCTTTTATTTGTATATTTGGTATTTTACACCTACAGGGGGGTTACAGAGGGGGGATGAGATTAGTAGTAGGTTATAGTTAAGTACATTATTTCGGTTCATGTTCATGGCAAAAAACTGCCTCTATGATGTGTGGATTTAGAAGCCTCTGAACCTCATGTAAGCATCAAACCTCTCACCGCGGTTGTTAAAGATTGGCCAGGAACACACAAGAGACAGAGCAAAGCGCTCACCCAAAGGGCAGACGCGGCCAGGCAAGGGAAGCACCAGGAGCCCTGCCCAACCAAACTACCAGCCACGCAGTCTCCCTGCAGCCAGGGGCTGTTTCATGGCCCTGCACGCGGGGCAAACCGGGTCTGGGGAGCATAGGGCAAGACAGCCACCTCGGACACACCGAGGATCGCTTACAAGGCCCGGGATGGGACACCCTGTCCGCCTCCCCTCCTGACTTCCCAGAAAGAGCGCTGGTGAGAACTCCGCGGGGCAAGCATGGAGTAGTGGCTGGTGGCTGGCACGGACCGCCTGGCCCATCCTCTGCGAGACCAAGGAGCCCCACGCACAGCACTGGGCCTAGCAGGTCCCACTGCCGGTATCACTCGGAGAACAGACCTTGCACGGGCTAGTGGCCCTGCGTGACCCCAGCAGCCGGGCGGAATCTGAGAAGAGGACAGAGGGAAACAACGGAGTATTTAAAGTACTCCTCGTGAAAAGAGCCAATAGTAAATAAAGCTTTAAAGAAACGAACGGGGGCGCCTGGCTGGCTCACTTAGTGGAACGTGCGATTCTTGATCCCAGGGTCGTAAGTTCGAGCCCCTGGTTGGGCGTAGAGTTTACTTAATATAAAGAAACAAGCAGATGCAAGAACCCCTAGGGGCCGCAGAGCGCCATCTCACTGCCCACATGGCAAAGAGATGCTGTTTCTAGTAAGTCTCAAGCAGGAACTGCTTTATAGGCTGCTGGTAACTGGCTCTTCCTGTTCTCAACAAATTGCTCGACCAAGTAACCTCCTTCAACCAGAAAGCCAGGCCATTCCTTAGAGATCCTGACTTGAGCGCGGAGGCCAGGCAACAATCCCAGCACCCTCCTCCGTGACCCAAACGCACTCCTCCTGACCTCTTCCTTTCTGCCTCCTCCTAAGACCTCCCTGAAGAAACAAAGCTATTTCGGTCAGGATGGGAAACCCCGGCTTCTGGAAGTTGGCTGTGCAAACTTCTCCTCTCCTGGAACCTGGAGAGACAATCTGGCCCCTGACAAGATGGGCTCCGAGGTAAAAACATTCTCAGAAACCTGAGCCCCTTAAAAAAAAAAAGAAAAGAAACCTGAGCCCCGTATTAAAAGGGCCCCATTTGGCACTCCATTAGATTTGGTTTCTCTGAAGGCAGTTCAAGAATAGCAGGGACAAAAAAACCCAGAAACCAGGCATCAACTATCTAAACCTATCTCTGGAACATTCATAGTGGGTGCAAACTTTTAGGAAAATGAACCTATTTATTTAGGCGCTTATCTGGGCAAAGATGTGCTCTCCTCTCTTAATTCAGTTACTTATGATGGGAGGCAGGTATTAGGATGCCTTCTGTAATATTTAGCATTGCACAAACACTACGGCCCAAGGAAAGACGTGCAGGGAGAGGGAGGAAGACAGCCGAGCAAGAGTGGCGTTTCAATCCCGAGAAACCTCTGGAGACCCAGATGACCCCTCCAAGGGTCTGAACACGCCACAGGTCCTTCAAAGGTGGGATCCAAGGGACCTTTGAAAAGAAGCCTCACTGAGTTGGACTTCAAGCCTCTGGCCACCAGCCCGACTCCACGTAGGGCAGAGTTTTCGGTCTCAGACCCTCTCCCTTAAAGGAAACACCAGCAGGCACCAAGTCCTGTCCTCCAGGCTCGGTAGGGGAGCGGTCCAAATGAACAGCCATGCGTGCTCTCAGCAGAAGAGCGCCTGCCCTCCCCACCCTCCCCCTGCAGGGTAAGCCGCAGTCAAGGCTCACCTCCCAGTAAGCAAATCCCTCACTGTGCCAGGTCCTCCGCCACCACCGTCCCCGCCAGCTGGGCCTCTCCCAGACACGGCAAAGCCCTGCACCTTGTCTGCTGGGCCACAGAACTGCCCAGCAGTGCCTCCCGACAACACATGATCTGCTTGCCATGAAGGAGCACCCGCCACTGTCCCCAAGAGCACCTGGATTTCTGCTAAAAATAAGCAGTTATTAAAAGCACGCACACCTTTCATTCTAGGGGGAAAGTGCCTTTAAAACCCAAACACGGGGCGCCTGGGTGGCTCAGTCGTTAAGCATCTGCCTTCGGCTCAGGTCATGATCCCAGGGTCCTGGGATCGAGCCCCGCATCAGGCTCCCTGCTCCACAGGAAGCCTGCTTCTCCTTCTCCCACTCCCGCTGCTTGTGTTCCCTCTCTCGCTGTCAAAAACAACAAAACAAAACAAAAAAAACCCCAAACACTATGGCCCCACACCTGTGTACGCAAGGTCTGTTTAGAAAATCACATTTTTAGGAAACGAGAGGAAAAAAAGGCAGGAAGACCCCAGCGTGCTGTTTCTAATCATCACTGGCTCTGAAAATAATTTCACGAGGCCTGTAAGTTCCAGAAGCAAGATGCTTGTCTCACTGCAGCTGTAGGCCTTTCTGGGCGGTTCGGGTGCTGCTTCCCAACTTTAAGATTGCACAATTTCAAGTGAGGGCAGCTAAAAAAGAACTCAAAAATAAGGACAAGCATTAAATATTACGTAAGGTTTTCTTTTATTTAAAAGATCATTCACAAAATACCGTATCCATAGATTTCCTTTCTGTCCTATAGCTGAATGTGTGAAGTGTTTGGAATTCTATTCTTACGTTTAAAAGTCAACTGGATGGCCCAGAAGTTTAGATGCCTTTGTTCTGTTCTTACTCTTTCCCCCACTGAAGATGTAAGTAGGTCATCTGAAAGCATCAGGTTTGGTTACAACCACATAATGCATGTCTTTCTGAAGTTAAGTACTGGTGTCACACAAATGGTTCTTATTTCAGAAGCAGAGGTAGCAGGGGAAGGAAGGAGAGGAGACAGAGTTCTGCAACTGCTGAGACCCTGGGACAGAGAGCCGGGGAGGCCGGCCAGGGACGAGCAACGGCCCTGCATGCGGCCCTGCCCAGGCCGGGCCGCACCCCGCAGACCCCCCCACGCACGGGGCTCTCCCCTCTGCGCCCGGAGTGGGGCGCAGCGCGGCAAAACCAAGTTGTTCGCACCCGGGTGTTCCAGCTCAGGAGGCTCGGCCCGGCAGCCCCCCCACCCCGCCCCCGGGGAAGCGCCGATCGCGATGTGTGGCAATGAGCAGCTCTGCCCAAAGAGGAGACCCAGTGACCGACAGCCACCTGCCAGCTATCTGGAGGTCCCTGACAGCTCTGCACGGTAAAATCCTCAATTCATCAAGCGAAACAGTAAAGTGCCAGGTTGTAGGCCCATTTTCATTATAAAATCCAGGGAAGGTGGGAAGCACAGTAGCTCACTGTTACTCATACCAAGGAACAGAGAGATAAACCCGAGGGACAGATGTGGGATCCACACACGGCAGGGACTGGGGGAGCGGCCGCGTCCACGCAGTCGGGGCAGTCTGGGCGCGGCTCTGCCACCACCGCCCTTCAGTGCCCCCCAGAGCACCCTGGCTGGCAGACAGGAGACCAGACGGAGGCTTTCTGCACCCAGCAGCCCAGAGGTGCCTCTACCACGGCCAGGGAGGAGGGAACCAGCCTGCGCGATGTGTTGAAAGAGCGACACTAGTGGGTGTGAACACAGTGGTGTGCTCCGCTGGTCTTCTCCGACACTTCACACTACTACCCCCTTCTTTTGGGTTCCACGTTTGAAATGAGAGCCTCTTCTGCTTGAATAATCCATTCGGGGCAGGGGTAGCAGAGACAGGGCTGCTTATAAATAGGGACAGGAAGGAATCAGCAAGGATCAACAGATATCTTACCCTTGCTTTGAAAACAAGGTGCCTCAAATTCTGTATGTTGATCACAGTGGAATAAAAACAAGATGCTATCCAATTTGTGACTTCTTTCCCATTTTCTTCCCGCCCCTCCCTTTCTTCTTTTCCCTCCCTTGGAAGCCACAGCAATAGAGAACTCAACATGCAGGTTGGAAGAGAAGTGCTGAGAAAAATCAAAGAAACAACTGGGTCTGGCCAGTGCGTCTAAAGTAAAGAGAGAAAGCGAAGGAGAAAAATGGAGCAGCACCTCCATCCAAAGAACGCCCATAGGTGGCTGCCTTTGTCCCTCGGGAGACACTCATGTACTGGAAGGAAACAAGGAGCAGGAAGGAGAAAGGACAGAAGGAAAAAGGGGAAGGAGTGGCAGGGGAAAAAAAAAAAAAAAAGCACGAGACAGGCACTAGATAGGTTCAGCAAAGCCAAGAATGTACTAAAAACCACTTGTTAACTGCTGACATGCGCTCACAAGCTCTGTGTTTCCGTTGTAAGAAAGGAGGACAAAGGTCAGGCGCAGGAATGGTGGCTGCAGGACCACCGGCCCAGGGGGCTGGCCAGGCTGTGGTCTCGCGCTAACTCCCCCACACCCCATTCCCTCCCAACCGCAAGCTCATTCTTGCTCCTTCTGAACGACTTCCTCTCTGGGCCTGGCTCCCCCGAAGATGGCAGAGTTGGGATTGGCTACTTGATTGAGGGGCGTTGCAACTGTTCGAGGCTTCAGCTGGAGCCGTGGCCTCTGTGCTCTTTCCTCTGCAGGAGAAAAACCAGTGTGGTTTATAAAGAATGGACCCCCTTCCCCATCCGGGTGAAATGACCAAACTGATGGCGGCCCCTGTAACCCAGCCCGCTTTCTAACTAGCAAGCCGGCCTCGAAGACCTACCCCACCCCCAAACACTCTAACAAAGGTAAACGTCCTAGTTAAGACTAAGGGGTGGTCCACAGCAGCCACTGTCCAGGGCACGAGAAGGCATGGGGGGTGGGTACAGCTGGCGGACCAGGACAGGACACCCTGCAGTAAGAAAGTAGTGCCATACCTTCTGTTGGTTCTCTGAAGTCCATATTGGACCCTCGAAGGGGAGGGCCATCTCTGAACCGACTCCCCATTGGGGGGCCTGTTCGCCGGTCACCGGGGCGACTCCCTCCCCTGCCTCCTAAGAAGTCATCCCTGAAGCCTGAAGAAGGAAGAGGACACTGGATTACTTTTTAAGCCACTGTCTCAAAGCTGACCATGCAGCCGGTGTAGACAGTTTGATCTGAAATTCTTCAGTTCGTCCGACATCGGAAGCTTTTGCAAAATCAAGTGCACTGCAAGGAGTCCAATGTGAATGTGCTGGGTAATCTCAGTTATAACAGACTTTTAACATTTCTTAGGAAAGAAAAATAAAATGAGCCGTTTAAACTTTGCAGAAAAAGGGAGGAGGAAAACATTACATAAGACTAGAATAAGGCTTGTTTACAACAAAACAAAAATCCTCAAAGCCCATTTTATTCCATCTCCTAATATAAACCTCTAATTATTAAAAGGATAAACCTGAAATTGAAAAGTTCCAGCAAAACCTAACAGAAAACCAGACATGACGACAAAATAAAAACACGACGCCACCTCTGGGTGACATCCCCCGTCTGTGTCTCTGCTGGGTCTCAGGTGTGGGTCTAAGAGTCAAGCACCCGTGTGTATGTGGCTGGGCTCACTCCCTTCGGGGGTGAGGGGGCACGCCTCACCCCCAACCCGCATCACCTCTTCCACTGTGAAGGAGAGGAAGGGCTTTCTCCCCGTTCCTTAGGGTCCCTGCTAAAACCGTTACCAGAGTAAACTGCGCCTCATCACGAGTGCTGAAGAGTGTGACAATGCTCGTCTGGGTGGTGAAGATGACTTTCTCCATAGGCTTTAATTTAAGAACCTTAAGTTTTTTTTAGTTTTGTATTTCACTGAAAAGACTTCCATTTAGAGGGGGTTCAAGCCTTTTAACAGTACAGACCACTGAAGTGAGAGTTTACTCTTAGAAAAAATTTAAGAAATAAAATTGTAGTCAAACAAATGAGCCTGCCCCCTCTCAGCCCCCAAAGGTGGCTGGCTACTTTTACTCCAAGGATGGTGCCATCGCTCAAAGCTCCAGAGGAATCTATCTTTAAGAAGAATCCCGAGCCCGCGGAATACTTTATATGTGGTCTGACCCCCATTACTCACAGATTTCCTATCTGCCAATTTTGTCTACTCGCCAGCATCTCTACGTGACCCTAAAATCAGTACTTTTAGCACATCTGCTTTTCCAGACATTCACAGAGCAGCGGAAGACGGGAGTCGCCTGACATGCGTGTTTTGCAGCTAAGGTTGAACGAAGCAACACTCAGCTTCTTGTTTCAGCTCAGACTGAGTGTCTTTTCAATCTATTAGGTGCCAGGTTTTTTGCTTTTGTGCTTTTCCTTGGCGACTGCACTGTTTAAAATGGCCCCAGAACGGAGCACTGAAGAGTCGCCAGGTCTTCCTAAGTGCAAGGCGGTCCTGTACCTTATCCAGGAAACGCGCATTAGTTAAGCTCCATCCGGGTCTAGTGCGGTTGGCCCTGAGTTTCCGGTCAGCTGAATCAACAGTATACATGAAATAGTGTCTTTAGAACAGAAATCCACCCAAGAAGGTATGTACTGATCGGCTGACAAAAACGTGACCAGAGACTCACAAGACTCTGACCTTGCTGTTTTTCCCCCTAGGAGCAATGGTTTGTGGTGTCTGCTCATCTGGTGTTCTCAGTGCTTTTAAACTTAACTCCCTTGAATATGGAGAATGCGCTCTGTTTGCAAGGGTGGTATTTTTCTGTTCTTCAAGGGTGGCCAAAGAATTTGGGAAGAGATCAAGTTATCTGAAACCCAGCTCAGAAATGGAGCTGGACAATACCGATTTTAACAAAACAAGTTAATGAAAACAATTTCAAAAAGATCCAGGCCAAGAGAAGCACACAGTTGGGGAAAACACACTGGGAGGCATACAGTCGGGTGTAAGGTTCTTTACAGAATCTTTTGAACCAGAGCCCACACCGTTAGTTAAATGAGCTTAACTGGTATTCAAACATTTAACCTGACATTTTCCCCCAATAAACTAAGAAGTGTACTTTTCCATGTGGGTATAGAAGTTACTTCCCCAAGCGAATAATTCTTGCTACCAGTGTGTAACATAGATCAGCTCACACTCACACTGACAAGGCAGATAAACACAGCTGCTGCCCTGTCCAGGTGCACGACGCAGAGTTTGGTGGAGGAAAAAAACAGTGCACATTAATAGCAAGTGACAACCTCATTGCGAAATCTCTTATGAGCGGAGCAGGGGAAGATGATGAGGGAAAAGCAAGGTCTGAGACTTTTTAGGAGGCACAGCATTCATGAGAACCTTCTAAGGTTTTTTGTTTTTTTGGTCATTTTTTCACAAAGTTTAGTTTAACAAACACAGGCTACTTCTGGTGGTGGGACTTTATTTGCTTTCTTTGTATTTTTTGTTACTGCTTGAGCCTTTTTTTTTATAACGAGCGTGTATCACTTTAAGAATAGCATCATTCTTTTAAAAAGCAAAAAAGATCTATTTTCACAAATAATGTATATAGGCATTAACCCCACCACGTGGGCACTTGTGATTTTAGAAACCACCAAAATCCTGCAGGGGACACCGGAACTGGCAGGAGTCGAGGGAGCCTCTGGCTGTGTGCTCAGCTCCGGAGAGTAAAAGCCCAAGTAAGGCAACCGCTCCTCAGGTTACTTCCACATTTCCAGAGCTGTAAGCTCAAGGGCCATTCCTCCAGTACCGGGAATTCAAAACTGGCAGGTCCGAGACCGCCACTCCTCAGGCCGCTAACAGCTGCACCTGGACTGACTCTGAGAAGACATCTGTTGCATGTTTCAATCAGAGACCAGCTTATACATAAAATTACAGGTTTACTGGATCATACTGTACTTTTATGAATAAGCTCATTTCTGATTGGCTATAGGACTCTAAGGAACTGAGTTATTCAACAGACATAAGCAGTCATCTGTTTAGCTAAATAGTACTGAAAAGAGTTTTTAAGAATTTTGGTCTACAACAGCTTGTCCTACTTCCCATACTTACCAAATACTTTATGCTGAGTTTGGTTTGATGGGGGGAGGGGGACAGGGTGGGTGGGGCTGCTGATGGTATCGTCTTATACAATATGGAGGAGAGTGCAGAGTTCATAGGAAAGATAACAGACTTGTTTTTCATGGTTTTACCTTTCTGTTACAATGGCCATTTTTGTAACATATATGAACTACTTTTACTTAAAAAACAACAACAAAAAACCCAAACGAAACAACAACAAAAAAACAACGTAAAGAGTTTAAGAACTGTTTAGGAGATCAACCCTTCAAAGCAGAGGCCTGACATGCAAACTGACCCCCGAGGTGAGACAGGGAGGCACCTGACAGGCTGCCTTGGTCAGTTAAGAAAAGGAACAGTAAAGTGCATCATGTCCACCATGAAGGGATAGGAGTTCCATGCCCTTCAAGAAAGAAACCCTGGGGGGCGCCTGGGTGGCTCAGTCGTTGAGCGTCTGCCTTCGGCTCAGGTCATGATCCCAGGGTCCCGGGATCGAGCCCCGAATCGGGCTCCCTGCTCGGCGGGAAGCCTGCTTCTCCCTCTCCCACTCCCCCTGCCTGTGTTCCCTCCCTTGCTGCGTTTCTCTCTGTCAAATAAATAAGGAAAATCTTTAAAAAAAAAGAAAGAAAGAAAGAAAGAAACCCTGGTCACCAGGACTTCAACCATGCAAGAGGGAGCCACCAAGAACCACAGTGACGAGGCTTTTGTAAGCTTCCAAAACCTCCACCTATTTCTAGAAGTAGCAGTGCTTCCACGTGTACCGTGCACACCAGCGCCGCCAAGGGGATTCCTGAGCTCAAGGCCCAGATGAGAACTGCAGGCCGAGGCAAGGTAAGACAAGACGGTGGATGAGCCTACCTTGCCCACAGTAGGGAGCCCCTCAAGTCCTACCCCAAACACTCAGGTCCCAACAGAGGCTTGGTGCATGCCTGGGGACCTTCCAGGACAGTTTCATCTGTGCAATGAGCTAAAGGAGCGGTCCGGCCAGGCTACTCACAACAAACGGACAACAGCACCAAGGCCACTGAAAAAGGTTAAGTGGCAATATTTTAAATGCTGATACCGGAATTGAAGTCATCCCGGGAATCCCATCCACCTCTAGATTCTCCAGGGCCACCCATTCCTGAGGATACACAAAAAAGATAAAGTTGAGGTCGTACCATTACCTTGCTGCACAAACATGGAAAAATTCATTGGAAAGATGGACAACTCATGAGAAGTTCACAGGAATCGTTAAGAGTTCTTGCTGCCAATAGAAAAAACAAAACAAAAAAACCCCCAAACCAAACAAAAAAACCCCAGGCTTACAGAAGCACTATCCATTCTCTCTCAAGATTTTTACATGTGTTTTAAAAGCTCACAAAAACCTATCAGACCTGTGAGACAGTTCTACTAATAACCTTCGAAGAGTTGTAATTAGTGGGTGTACAGCAAATTTTATGTTCAGTTTTAGAAGAACCAATCACCTCTGTCATCTGGTCCACCTTTCCTGAATCCAAAGCCACCTTTATCTTGTTTTCTGCCTTCTGCAATGTCCACACGAAGTGATCGATCACCCAACAGCTAATGATAAGGGGAAAATAGTGTAAGTATTGGCAAGAAAAAAACATCTCAACTTCTAACATGACACAGAAAACCTGAAGATACTTACTGCACCATCGTATGTCAAGGCTTCCTTAAGTGAATCCACCTCATCAAATTCTACATAGCAGAATCCTGTAAGAGAAACAAACCCCAATTTCCTCAAGGAATTCTGGGTTAAGACACGGTGGGATCCCTGTCTGGTCCATTTTCCCACTCTTGTTGCATCTAGGGGACAGTAGACTAGTAGAGCCTAAAAGACAGACTGTATTTTGTGATAAATAGAAAAGACCTGACTGGCATTCCTTCCTCTCAATTATACTCTGTCAGAATGTGCCAAACAGGTATTGAAATATTTGGCAGCTGTGTTTTTATAAAGCTTTCTTTTTTATGAGTTTTAACCATAATATTAAAACCTTTTCTGGGTCATTGCGAAGAGCTGTTAGTTCTGACTTTTGAATAACTTTAATATAACCCAACTGGGGCTTTAAGACACAGATTTCAAATTCAGTACCAAACATGCTTTGAAGGAACCGGCTGAAGGTGCCTACTACTTACTACTCAGGTAGTTGGTATAAAATCTGCTTTATAAAGCTAAAAAATACACCCTCAGTAACAAGAGCATCCTCCTTGGGAGGCTAATTAAAAGACAAATAGCCTAGGCCCAAGCACATGTTACCGACAACCTGTGTCCCTGATGCTGGATTCTGACACAGGCTTGCAAACAGGAGAACATTCCAGAGGCAGAGGAAACCACACCTTCTCTCACCTCGAACCTCTGCGTTAGCTTCTCCCTCTACCTCCAACACTCTTTCCACACCCCCTCCTTGCCGCCTGGAGACCAAATCTGGGTTAAGCACTCCCCCTGCCCAGATATGCTTACACTGCACCCTGTATTACACCCTTCCACCCCGCATATCCCCATCCTGTGTGGTGATTACACTTCACCTTCAAAGCCCACTAGACCGCAAGTGCTCCGAAGGCTTGGGTCCAAACTTGTCCTGTTCACCATGTGCTCACCAACTACTTACAAAAAGAACGCACTGCTTGGCTGGAAAGCCCCCACCTTCCCCACTAAGCGGATTCAATGTCTAGAGTATTTGAGGAAACCACCCTGCAGGTTCAAAGAGGCCAGCAAAAGCCCACTCACCCACCTCACCCTTCAGAGCTGCCGAAACTGAGGATGACCCTCTAGGAGATAAATTAAAACTTGCTTCTACGGACTCAGCCCAAAGGCTGCCCCACCCCCCCAATTTCCCCTGAAGCCTGGAACTCCTGGTGCCTCAAGCAGGGACACTGGGTGGGCCTTACTTTCACAAGCTGAACGGATATGTTTGTTTTCATTGTTTGGGCACTTATTATAACAAGGCTTCAGGTTCTAAAGCCAAAAAACTTTCACAGTGAGAAAAGTACCACCTATACACAGAACTGTTCAGATGAGCGAAACCTCGGCTTCTCATACCTCTCCTCACCGGACGTCACTCTGTACTTTTCCTGGATGTGCTTCGGGATAAATAATGTAAACCAAATGCTCTTGTACCTTGCACCATGCCCTCAGAAAGGGAGCACACTTACCCTCAGGGAATCTTGAAAGCCAGGAGATAATGCTGGCAGGATTCTTCTTTCTTAGGCTTCCCTGCTCAAGTGCCCTAAAGAGACTAATCTACAGACACTAACTTTATCTGAAATTTGAGCCAATCCTCTCCCCCACACACTCTAAAGTCACCAAGATATAGTGACAATATGTATTAGGTTCTCTTCTGAATTCTATACAAATACCTAGATTACAGGAAAACAAAGAAAAATGCCAGGAGTTGGGCCAAGGTGAAATGCACCTGCAAAGTCCTCCGTTTTATCTGTTCATTTCTCTCCCAGGGAACTCCCTGACTGGCACAGACAGGATAGATGGGTCAGGCAAACAGCAGACTGACTTGGGCATATTTATACTGCATACTTCTACAAATCAGATCATGTGTAAAACATTTTCCCCCAAGTAGAACCGAAAGCCTATGGGTGAAAGGGCCATGTTTATTTCAGCTACTTGGGACAGACAAATATTTAAAACACTTTCGTAACTGGAGCCTTCTGGTTCCCTACCATTTCGGTTTCGACCCTCCCTCTACAATAATACGCAGTAAGAATCCTCCCAAACTCACCTTTGAATTTGTCTGTGTCTTTGTCTCTGACTAGCCGTACACTCCGTATGCTGAGATCCTTAAAGATAGCATCTATGTCGCCCTGAACTGTATTAAAAGGTAGATTTCCTACATATGCCGTGTAGGGGGGCTCTGTGGGCAGCTCCTTCTGGCTGCGGGAACCATGGCCACCAGCACTGCCGCGGGACCTGGAGGGGAAACAGACAGGATTTAAGTCTACTCGCCCTAGAGCAGAGACGAGGAAAATGTCTTCCGCTCAGCCACAACACCCACGTGTTACTCCACTTGAATGTATGATAACATCTGGAAATTATCAAGAGTATTCTAAAATATCATTCATGACCAGGGTAGGGTGCCTATTTTTTGGTGACAGAAATGTCCACGGAAACACAGAATCGATGTAAACATACATTTCCCTTGCAACTCAAATCCAAACAGAACATACCCTCCCTGTACAGCTGGTTACCTATTTACGTAGACTCCGTATCTGCAAAATGTTTATATCCTAAAACCTTAACAAACACCCTCCCCCTCATGCCTGGTCATCCTCATACATGCCAAAATGGACTACCCAGAGTTAGCACACTGTATTCAGGAAGGCCTTCTAAAGCTGCTGAAGTTAACCCATTCATAACCCACCTGCTTCTTGCTAATACGAATGCTCTAATAAAAATTTTAGATTTTGTACAGCAAGTGCTATGTACGTACTACTCTCCATCACTGCCCATGCACAACTTCACCTGTCCTCAAATGCGTATTACAAATCCACTTAAACCACAATGCCAAGTCCTCCCGGGTAACAAGAGGTGGTTATGTGTCTACGGTTACGGGGCTCAAAAGTGGCAAAGGCAGGACCTTGACTCTACCACATCTCATTGCTAATATGTAGAGGTTCTGGTTTGAATTCCAGCTCAGCTGCAAACTTACTCCACCATACGACCTTGAGGAGTGACCCAATTTCTCTAAGCTTTATTTATTTGTAAAGCTGGGTTAATAAACACAGAGCTTGAGCTACTGAGAAGGCGCCTAATACACTGACACACAGTACACATGGGTGGAGTAACAATTACCAGTATCATCACACTTACAATCGAGGCTCAAAATGTTTTAGAGATAATTAAGAAATAATTTGGGGCCATTATATATTTGTCAAAATCCACAGAACGTGTAATACCAAGACACTGTCAGTGTAGGTTCAGGGACTGTAACAAACGGACTCCTCTGGCGAGCGTGCTCACAGCAGGGCCACCTGTGCTGTGTGTGTGTGAGACAGAAGGCAGGGCGAATACAGGAACTGAATTCCCCCCCCCAGACTATTTATTTATTTATTTGAGAGAGCGAGCGAGATCTAGCGAGGGGGGGAGGGGGAGAGAGAAGAAGAGGAGAAAGAGACTCCCTGCAGGGCTCGATCTCCTGACCCTGAGATCATGACCCGAGGGGAAACCAAGTGTCGGAGACTCAAGCAACTGAGCCACCCAGGCGACCCTGGGAACTATTTTCTGATCAATTTTGCTGTGAACTTAAAATTGCTCTAAAAAATAGTCTATTAAAATGAATGAATGGGAAGGGGTGCTCTTCTTTACATTAATAAGAATGTCAACTAATAAATGTAGAAGGGATCATATTAAGTAGAAAATCACTACTCTTGGGGCGCCTGGTTGGTTCAGTCGGTTAAGTGTCTGACTTCGGCTACGGTAGTGATCTCAGGGTCCTGGGATCGAGCCCTGCAGCAGGCTCTGCGCTCAGTGGTGAGTCTGCTTGTCCCTCGCCCTCCGCCCTCCCCCTTTCTTGTGCTCACTCACTCTCAAATAATAAATCTTAAAAGAAAGAAAGAAAATCACTACTCTGTACCCATCAAAGAAGCAGGGGCTGTTTCAGGCAAGGCTCATCAATGGACCCAGCAGTCACCATGTTAACCAGGTAACTGACAAACTCACACCATGTGCCTTGTGTTTTGGCACGGATTCTTCAAACGTATCAAAAAATCATGAAAGAGGGCACCTGGGTGGCTCAGT